GGACCCTGATCTCTGTCTTTGCTGCTTTCGACCATCCTGCAGAGGCGGGGCCGGCTGGGACAATGGGACAATGGTTTGTGGCTTTTGTTCCTGCAGGGAGGGGCAGGGGAGCTGATGAAAAGGTTTGTGGCTCTGATGTCTGGAGGAGTTCTTTCAAGCCTGACATTCCAGACCCAGCTGGCCTCTGGCATTTCCCAGAAAAAGTGCGGAGGGAGGGGAAGGAAAACACTTCACCAACCCACCCACCCTGCTTTCTCACATTCCTTGTTCCCTCTGGGGCTTGGGCTGGGCCAGAGTCCTGGGGCAGAGGCCCATCCCTCCACCCACCGAAGGGCGGTGGGAGGGTAGGGGGTGGGGTGGGGGGGGCTTTAGGAGGGCACAGAGGGTATGGAGCGTGTGGGGCGCCTGTTGGGGAAAAGGGAAGTTTCTTCCCACCGCTTCATGAGGAATCTACATCTGCTCCAAGTTCTGAGTTGGGAGTAGAGAGTGGGACAGTTAGCTTCCAGCCAGCTGTCTCTCCTGACCCCAAAGCAACAAACCCTGCTCTGTCCGGGGCTGGGATGGGAAGAGTCTCCATTCGCCCTGGAGCAGCCGCTGTGCCCGTGCCCGCGCTCAGGAACAGACACCAGGGCAGCGGGCAGTTCTGGGAAGAGGCCGTGGTGAACCATCTGGGCTGTAACACAAGTGAGGCCTGGCCCGGTGCCCAGAGCTAAAGTGGCAGTGCCCAGGAGAAGGAGAGCCTGGCGACAGGGGGTGGGGAGTGAGGCTGGCACCCAGGAGTTTTTGCCTGGGCTCAAGATGGCCTCGGAGAGCCAAGGGTTGGTGGAGAACCACCGGCTGGAATAGCTTGCCTACAGATGGCTGGCTCTTGGAGCGAGGCAGCTGGGAGCCCCTAACCCATTGGGTTCCTGGGTTTGGGACTGCTCACCACCTCACCTGGGTGTGCGTGTAGCATCTGAACTGAGCCCCCCCCCCCCCCACACCCTGCATGAAGCTTCCCGCAGTGGTGAGATCTTCACGGCGACCCCTTGAGTCCCCTAACCAGGTGTGTGACACCACTAGCAAGGTCCTTGGGTCCCCGCATTGTGAAGCACACACTGGCATGCACTTTGTTAGGCACCAATTCGTGGGCAAGTTCAAAGGGGAAATGATACACCCTCTCTCTGGCTCCCGAGGTCTAGAACCAGCCATGGGGGCAGAGAAGAGTGTCCGAAGGAGTGGGAGGTGGGGTCTCTATCAGGGACAGAGGTGAGGCTCTAAAGCCTGACGTTGAGGTGGGTCTCCTAAGCCCCTCCTTCCCACTTCTCCCTTGGCTCTCATCTGGCCCCATGCTGTGTCATTCAGAGTTTCTTAACCGGGGTACAGGTACTGCCCCCTCCCCAGGATTTCATAAGCCCCCTGTATTTGTAAACAAAATGCCAGCGGCGGTCCAGATTTCTGGGGTAGATAAACCTACCTGGAGTCACTTCCCGCTTCTACAAGATTTATTTCACAAAGTCATTCATTCATTCATTCATTCATTCATTCATTCATTCATTCATAAGAGATCATTGTTGAGCGCGTCCTGCGCATCAGAGATTGAGCGGCGTGCCCAGAAGTTATCAGTTTGGGACCTCAGGAAATTTAGATTCTTTCCAGGAGGTCAAGATTCTCTCACAGCTGATGTCATGACTAGTCAATTTTGAATGCACCATGAGTCCCGTAAAGGAAGAGTCCTGGGGGGCTGTGTGAGCATATTATGGGGAGACTGAATCTATTGGGGGGAACAGCCGAGGGGATTCCCCGAGGAAGTGACACACGCAGGCTGGTGGGAAGCTGAGGTCTGGAGGGGTCACCTGACCTCCCCACGTTTCCCAGCCTGTAGGTGCCCGGGGACCGGCGCACCTCCAGTGCCAGGGTGTCTGGGATCCCCCCCCCCCCCCCCCCCACTGAGTTTACAGCTCACTCTGCCTCTCTCTCCCTCCCACCTACTAACTTAACGGCCTTGGCCTTCGATCCCTGCTTTCAGGCTCAACCTGAGGCAGCTACAAACTGGTAAGATGAGAATGTTGTTCCCCCTTCAACCCCTGAGAGGTGGGTCAGACACATTCTCTGATTTTTGGAACTTTGAGACTCAAAATGTGTTTCACAAACAGGCAATACAGTCCCAGGGGTCGACATTCAAACGTTACAAACAGATGAACTGTGGTCTTTTACCGTCTTCGACTCTTACCTTGTTCTCCCGTGGTGCTTGGGACATTGTTTCGCAGACCGGAAGATGTGAGCGGAGTAGTGAACTACGGGCTGAGCATGACCCGTAGAGGCACTGGGTAGACTTCAGGGAATTAAAAACATATATATATATATGTTTGAGACGACATTTAAAAATCTGGAAATCTCACATTCACATCTGACTTTGGGGCTTTCTTTGGAAAAAATGGGTCATCTGGCAGCAGAGGGTCTACACTTGGCAGGTCTCCACTGGCCCCTTAGATGGGACATGGGCTCTCCAGCTCAGCATAGGCCCACCCCCAGGACTGGCCTCTCCTCCTCCTTCCGCTCCCCGCCGGGAGCCCCAGGCACTGAGGCAGCAACCCCACCTGGCCTCCGTCTTCCCACCTCCCCTTTCTAGGCTAAAGGACGACGACATTCTTTGAGTCTCTTCCCTAAATTCCAAGAGACTGGAAATAAATCCAGCCTGGTCCTGGGAGTCCCACCTGCTCGGTGGATGTGGCCTCATCTTAGGCAAGACTCATCTTGAGCTGGGGTTCTCGAGCGAGGCCCAGGGCACGCTTAGCCTCTTGCTTCAATTAACCGTGGGGGCCAGGTGGGGAGAAAAGCAGGGCACGGCCGTGTCAGGACGGGCTTCTGCCAAGGAGCCCCCAGCAGCTCGCCTCGGCTCCCCAAGCAGGACCCAGAGAGCCAGGGATTCCCTGGGACACAACTGGCCACGGGCCGCAGTGTTTCCCCACGCGCTGGACTGCTACATCGGGAGGAGGCCGGCAGGTCCTTGCTGGGGTGGCGCTGGCTGCCTGCCACACCACAAGAGGCTGAGATTCCCCTGAAACCGAGAGCTGCATTTATTTCTCACCAGCGACACAGAGAAACAAACCGGCACGCTCTGCCCAGGAGGCATGTCCAGAAATTTGGGCCCGGGCTTCTTGTTGATGAAATGCCAGATTATCCTGGGCCTCTCTGCGGCAGGGAGGCATGGATCACGTCGAGGGACAGGTGGGGTTTTGTTTCGCCGATGACAAGATTTTTCGACGCCGAAAAGTTTAAATGATAAGTACAAGAACCTTGACCGGCTCCCCGCGGGGG